GATAGAACAGAAAACCCTCTTAGACACCCAAAGGAAAGAGATAATTTTAATCCGCAATACAGAGGGAAGAATATTGCATTAGTTTTCACTTAATAGGGCTAGCAGTATGTAACCAGTAAACTTCATCTTTATGCAGCTGGATGATCTAGTAAGTATATGCAACACAAAATCTCTACTTGTAACCTGTGTTTCTTTTCCTCCCAAACAGTAGATTTATAAGCTTTGTCACACAACAAAGGCATTATAACTGCCTTTTAACTTCATTTCTAATCTGAGTCAAGCTAGCTTTGAAGGAGTATGTGAACTGTATAAAGCTAATAAAGAATTTATATTAGAACTAAGCCATGCTAGGTAGAGAACCACCACTGGGATTTGTAAATTTATATGGAGAGAATTTTCCTTCTTGTACAATTAAGAATACAGAAGAGCATAACAAAACCCAAATTAAAAACTAGCTTGTTCACTTTTAGTCCCTACTTGTTTAAGTACAGTGAAAAGTTTTTAAAAATTGGAACATTTTTAATATATTGAACCTACATTTCAAACAATTTAGTGGGAGTTTCTGGATTTTCATATTTCTAATTGTAAGCGAATAATGCATGAGTGGAAAATAATAAAAAATAATAATAATAACAATAAAAGAGGAATGAGAATGTTACTGTATGGGCTGCAGTTTAGAGAAGTGAAATGTAATGATCTTATTTAGGCAATACTTTCTTGAGATACGGATGCAGAATGTAAAGAAGGATGTTCTCAGACTGGAAAAAAAAAAAAAAAAAAAAGAAAAAAAAAAGAAAACATATACATAGCCAGAATTACTGTTGAGACTCAGGGAGAAAAAGAGAGTCTACATCCTCTGGAAGAAGGGACAGGCTACCTGGGGAGATTACAAACAAAGAAGTAGCTAAGGTATGCAGGGAGGAAGTTAGGAAGGCAAAAGCCCAACTTGAACTCCATTTGGCCACTGCAGTAAAAGACAATAAAAGATCCTTTTATAAATATATCAATGGCAAAAGAAGAACCAAAGATAATTCTCATCCTATACTTGATGCAGCAGGGAATGTGGTCACTGAGGACAAGGAGAGGGATGAGGTCCTCAGTGCCTTCTTTACATCTGCCTTTAACAGCCAGATCAGTTATCCTCTGGGCTTTTTATGCCCCAATCTGGAAGTCTGGGACACTGCTCAGAATATGCCCCCAGCAATTCAGGTGGAGACAGTCAAAGAGCTCCTCCTCCATCTGGACTGTCACAAGTCCATGGGACCGAATGGGCTGCACCCTTGAGTACTGAGGGAGCTGGCGGGGGTAATTGCCGAGCCCCTCTCAACCATCTATCAGCACTCCTGGTTAACTGGTGAGGTTCCAGAGGATTGGAGGCTTGCTGATGTGACTCCCATCTTCAAGAAGGGCCATCAGGAGGATCCAGGGAACTACAGGCCTGTTAGCCTGACCTTGGTACCATGGAAGGTTATGGAGCAAATCATCTTGAGTGACATTGCATGGCATGTGCACAGTGTCCAGAGAATCAGGCACAGCCAGTACAGGTTCATGAAAGGCAGGTCATGCTTGACCAATCTCATCTCTTTGTATGACTGGGAGACCAGTCTGGTAGGTGAGGGAAGGGCTGTTGATGTAGTCTTCCTAGACTTCTGGAAAGCCTTTGACATGGTCCGTCAAAGGATTCTTCTGGGGAAACTGGCTGCCTGTGGTCTGAACAGGTCTACCTTTCTTTGGAGGTACCTTTCTTTTTCTAAGGAACTGGCTGGAGGGCGGTGTTCAGCGGGTAGTGGTGAATGGAGTTAAGTCCAGCTGGTGACCCGTTTCAAGTGGTGTCCCCCAGGGGTCGGTACTGGGGCCCATCTTGCTTAATATCTTGATTGATGACCTAGATAAAGGGATTGAATGTACCCTCAGTAAATTTGCAGATGACACCAAGTTGGGAGGTGGTGTCAATCTGCCTGAGGGTAGGGAGGGCCTTCAGAGGGTTTTAGATAAGTTGGATCACTGAGCTGAGGTGAATGGGATGAGGTTCAACAAGGCCAAGTGTCGGGTCCTGCACTTTGGGCACAACAACCCCATGCAGCACTACAGGCTTGGGGATGAGTGGCTGGATGAGTGTGAAGAAGATGAGGACCTGGGGGTGTTGGTTGATGCTCGGCTGAACATGAGCCAACAGTGTGCCCAGGTGGCCAAGAGGGCCGACGGCATCCTGTCCTGCATTAGAAATAGTGTGGCCAGCAGGAGCAGGGAGGTGATCATCTGCCTGCACTCAGCACTGGTGAGTCCGCACCTCAAGTACTGTGTTCAGTTTTGGGCCCCTCACTACAAGAAAGATGTTGAGGTCCTGGTGCGTGTCCAGAGAAGGGCAACGAAACTGGTGTGGGGTCTGGAGCACAAGTCTTATGAGGAGCAGCTGAGGGAGCTGGGACTGTTTACTCTGGAGAAGAAGAGCCTCAGGGGAGACCTCATTGCACTCTACAACTTCCTGAAGGGAGGTTGTGGTGAAGAGGGATTTGGCCTCTTCTCCCAGGCAACGAGCAGGACACGGGGAAATGGCCACAAATTGTATCAGAGGAGGTTTAGATTAGACATAAGGAAGAACTTTTTCTCTCGGAGAGTGGTCAGGCACTGGAATGGCTGCCCAGGGAGGTGGTGGAGTTGCCATCCCTGGCAGTGTTCAAGAGGCATCTGGATGACGTGCTGCATGATATGGTTTAGTGCTTGTGGTGGCAATGGTGATGAGGAGACGGTTGGACTAGATGATCTTACAGGTCATTTCCAACCTTGTGATTCTATGATGCTATGATTCTGTGATTTGGTGGATAAGGGGTTGGTTGGAAGGCAATAGACAGAGTTGTGTTGAATGGAACTATGTCCAGGTGGAGGCCAGTGCCAAGTGGCATCCCACAGAGGTCTATCTTGGGACTGGTGCTCTTCAACATCTTTATCAATGACTTCAACGATGGGCTCAAGAGCACCCTCAGCAAGTTTGCCAATGACACCAAGCTGAGTAGTGCTGTTGATGGATTAGAAGGAAGGGAAACCATCCAGAGGGACCTTGACAAACTCAAAAGGTGGGCTCTTGTGAACCTCATGGGTTTCAACATAGAGAATTACAAGGTTTCCAATTGGGTCAGAGTAATCCCAGATATATATACAGTCTGAAAGAAGAACTCCTTGAGAGTAGCCCTGAAGAGAAAGACCTGGGGGCCCTGGAGGTTGGTGGCCATGCCTGTGGCAGGGGGGTTGAACTTGATGACCCTTGTGTTCCCTTCCAATCCAAGCCATTCTATGATTCTATGATTCTGTGATTCTATGATTCTATGGTACTTGGTGTAGTTAATTGAACTGACTGTGTTTTGTCTCCATATCTACTATTTTGGCAGAAAATTTTCACAAATTACGTAGTGAACAGAGAGTAAGGCAGTTATACAAAGCAGCATTTCCTCTCAGATATGTCCTGAAAGTAACGTATAACAATACCTAATAAAACTTCTGAATCAGAGGTGCTGCATAAATTAGTTCTACTGTTTCAGTAGTGAATGGCATTCTTCACTGTTCATATATTGTGTTGTAAGTAGCTTTTGTAGAGCTACTAATGTGTATCTGTGTGATGTGTTAGAAATGTCTAAAATATTTTTCCTGGTCTTTATATATCACTTAACAGATTAAGTAGTCTGGGAAATTACTCTCTGCATAAGTAAACTATGCTCTTCAAAAGCACAAGTCTTACTTGAATAATAAAACAATCAAATATTTGAATGTCTAAAACAAGTGTGTTTCATATTTCCTAATAGTTAGTTAGCTACTTTTAGGACAAAATGTGATGATTACATTAAAAAATCTGAGCCAGCATGTCTAGACCAAATGTCTAGCACAAATCAGTCTTCCTGAAAGAAAGTGCAGTGCATGAGACTGCACTAGCTCAATTTTGACTAGATACAGTTATGATCACTCACAAGAACCGATTTAGAAAGACATCACGATATTTATTTGTATCTGACGTGTAAAGTGAACTGAATCTGGATGGGGAATAAGTAAGAAAGTATGTATGCTTAATATTTAAAAATCTGTGTGGCATTTGTACATTTGATAATGGAAAACAAGTGAATATTATTCAAATTATTGCTCAGTTCTGCTTAACAGAAAGAAGAAGTGAGTTAAACTTTGAAATCTATGCTTCTGACCTCCTGTATTGTAGATCATTATTGACCATGCTAATACTAAAAAATAAGAAGGAACATAAGAACAAGTTTGTCTACTGGATCCAAAGTATTTACACTGCCCAACACAGTGTCAGCTATCTGATTTATTTTGGGTCACCCTTGTTAGCTCTACAAAAAAGATGCCTAAATGTGATCTGGGAAACAGTTATCTCCAGGACAATAATGTTTCCCAGTGGTACTGGCTTGGTCTGCTGTTCCCTGGTCAAATATTTGATATTGTCCCAGCACATCTATTTCATTCAGTTTATACCAGATTCCTATGTAACACACTAAATACATACAACCTGGATGTTTTGTATGTAACGGATATACAGCAATATATGAAGCACAGCTCTTCTATTACTCCAGATATTTTGAACTGAAAAAACTGAAGATATAATAATTGTATCTTAAGTCACCACATAGGTCTGGAATAGATGCAGGGCAAGTTGCTGTGTAGCATGGATTCTGTCTCTCTCCTCAAAAAAATTCCAATCTGAAAGTGTGAGGGACAAGTGGCTTGCCTCTGGGCTAGGGTTTAATGACCAATCTCTTATTTAGCAGTACAGAAGAAGTACAAACACTGCATATGTTTTTAAATAAAAAATGAAGAATGAGCATCTTTAAATATGACTGTAAACCAGAGGGGAAAAAAAAGTCAGAATTATCTTTCTGTGGATTCTGGATTTTTCTTTTAAAATCAAAACAATATTAGGTAGAGAGATAAGAAATCTTGGATGTTCTTCGAAGTTCTTCATCTGTACTACTAACTTGCATGCCATGTCTTGTCTTTAGCTGTTGCAGGGCAAATCATTTCGTAAATATGATAACTGGGATCTATGGCAAACAGGCAGTGGTGGAAGTGTGGAAGAACAAATCAGTGGAGATTGTGATGATGAAGATGGTTGTGGAGGATCAGGAAGTGAAGAAGTAAAAAGAGTCCTGAAAAAACACCACTGAATTATCTTGGAAAAGATATGGAGAAGTTGTCTGCATAATGTTTCCAAGGTATACTGGAATAGGACTGTAGTTATAAGACTTCTGAGAGGATGGTATGAAGATAAGTATCATTTTAATCACAGCATATGTTAGTGCATAGACCTCATTACATTATTTTGGTCTATTAATAGGTCTTATAATAATATTCCCCTCTGACCTACTGATTTAACATGAGAGGTAATACTTGGCAGTCTACCACAGAAGTTGTTTCTAATAATTAATGGAACTAATATAAAGGAACTAAGCTGAAAGTTAGGATTTTGCTGTGGTAGATATATTTTGTAGAGAACTACCTGAGTCAAACTTTTCAATATTTATAATTTTATATTAAGAGCGAGAATGAAAACATATGATAAATATCATCGGTATTTAAACTGGTAGAATTTTCTTAGTTTCATGTGACTGGTATTAAGACCAAGCTAAGTCAGATCATGAACTCCTGGCTGCATATGTTACTTACTGCATTCTTCGTTCTTTGTGATGTATGACTGAATGTCAGGCATAGCCAACAGGTTGACTTGAGTATGGTTATCCTCAGTGATGGTTTGTTAGTCCTGATGGTTTTTGTCCATCATAATATTAGTTTGTTCTGTTTTTTGTTTTTGTTTTTGTTTTTGTTTTTTAATAGTCAGAAATGTCTATTATATTTAGTTATGGTTAGTATTTGATCTCATTAGTAATGGAAGACCAATGAAACTGAATTTCTGGTTCAGTAATTATGTTGGGAATTCTGAATATACTGATATACAGAAAAAAAAAAAAAAAAAAAGAAAAAAAAAAAAAAAGACATATTTGCATTGTGAATAAGATGAAGGTATTAGATTTGTTCAAATAAAAACTTTCATGAGCTGCAGATATTACTTTGCTTCTCCTGGTGCATGGCAGATCTTTGTTAATTTTTCAAATTACAGGATGCTTCTGTCCATTGTGCAACACTAGTTTATCAGTCTAACATAACCGTATTTTTAAAGTGAAAAGCAGAATACTGTTGCAGTAATCTCAGACAGGTAAAAACACAATGGGCTGAATTGGACAGTGCTCACATAGCAATTTAGAAATCCTAATAAGAAAAATCAAGTTAGAAATAACATGTAATTGTCATGGAGTTGACTAGATCAATCTATGTCCGTGACAGGGGCGACAGGCCTCTGCCCTTCCCCCCCACCCCAGTCCCACAAATAAGTGGGAAGGAAGGAAGGGAGGAAAAGAACAGCAGCAACAATCTATGGAGGAAAACTTATTTTACTATAATATTGGAATTCAAGATAACACAATATATGCAATTTAATTGAAATTGAGATTAATAAATCAGACAAGATGAGAGAGAGAGTTCCTGGGATCGAGTCAAACCTGAAAAGCTTGGAACGGCTAGGAAAGCACCTTCAGCACCCGCTGCCAGGCAGCAAGAGAGCGCCCCCCCCCACCCGGAAGGGCCAGATCCCGTGACTGCTGTAATGTACAGGGATAGGTACCTGGGATTGGGGCATTAACACTTTAATGCCCCTTACACTACATGATGTTTTGATGTGGAATACTGAAACCCAAAAAACAAAAAAAACATAGTACCATGACAGTAATGAACTATATTCATTATAGAAATGAGAAGTTTACTTTACTTTTACTTTACCTTTAATCTTTTGATACATGCAGGCATATAGATGGTGTTATCTTTTCCTTACCAAAAATTATTTTTGCAGTCTTTCAATTCCTATCAATTTTTCATAATCAGTCAGGAAAGGAAGGGAGATTACTGCCTATTCTGTATTACACTACCGTTTGGGGCTCCTATCTTAAGCCATGTCTCTTTTTTTTATATATATTCCAAAAATTTCACCAAGGGTATCCTGTTTGCAAGAAGTTCATTATCTAAATTAATAAACAAAATAAATAAGTTGATAAAGTAGATAAATATCCATACTAAACACATTGCTTTGCATAAAAAAAAAAAAAAAAAAAAACAGTATATATATCTTTTCTAGTTCTTCGTCATTGTCTTCTACACATGTGTATAGTCCTCAGACCTAGAAGTAACAGAGAGGAAGGAAAGATACGTTTTTGCCAAGATATAACTCAAGCAAATTTATTTGAACATATTGCTACTCAAGTTGAAGACAAATTGTTCCTCCACTCAGTGTTACAGATACAGGAAGTGTTTTCACTTAGCATTGGAGACTGACTAATGTGTGTGATAGGCTTTAGACTCTGGGAGGCCAATGGAGAGAATTGTTATTTATGACTCAGAAGTGATAGCCCTAGCATTATATTGGTGCTTAAAATATGTTGTATTCTTAAGAATTCCAGTTTTCATATTGAATAGTCAATTATTCTATTACATGTATTATTTCAGAGCCCTACAGTTTTACTAACTGCCCTTTTTAAGTTGCTTTAAAACACAGCAAATTGCTTCAGTCTTTTGGAGGAGTGGTACTACAAAAGATAGTATACTCTAACTGTATAAAATAAATACTAGAATAAAGTCTTAACACTTTGTGATTTTTATTCTACTCTAACAAAGAAGTCTTTACAGGACAATTTAATGTGTCATAATGAATTACCTCCACAAACAATAAAACAAAACAAATAAACAAACCAAACAAAAAGCAGAATTCAAGATGTAATAGCAAGAAATACTTATCTAGCTGTGTGAGGAAAAGAGGAAGAGCTAATCCTGCTATCACTCTGCTGAGATATTCATTGCCTTTTATCAAAATTCTCATAAGACTTATAGGAAGACCATTAATTTTCTGAAAATTTCTGTGCTACAGCTTTGTCTTTCTTCTTCTTTTCTCGTTTTAACATTCAGTGTAGCTATTTCTTTACTATATGTCCTATTTCAAGGCTAATATTTTTAAAATTACCTAGAGGGTCTTTACACAAGCAAATCTTGACTCTTCCTGTATTTGATTTTTCGCTTACCAGACATTTTCTGTGTCTGAAGAAAAAAAACTCAAAAATACTTGATTTTACGCTTAGTTAATTTATGGATTATTATTTTCGTATTAAGATTATGCAATAGCATGGAAAAAATTGGAAAAGGCTTTATATTGTGACTTCCATATCAGAAGAGAGTATGATGATTCACATAACCCAGTCAATATCTTCTATTTGATTTTATTCTTCATTCTGTACTCCCAGACATCTTTTCTCCTCTTTCTATTCTTTCACTCACGTTGGCATGGTTGTTTTTCTTGCCTTGCCTTTCCTTCTCTATTTTAAAACCATCCTTTGTAATAAGCATCATTTATCCCCATCTCCAAAGCTGCTTAAAACTACCATACATGAGAAACTTTACTCAGCTTCTCTTTGTTTGAGGAGAGCAAACTTCATTAACTATACTATTTGAAATTCTATAGAGACTTTTCCATTTTGCTTTTCACTGCTCTAAGCCTTGCCAGGGCAGTTCACAATCCTTTCCAAAATTAGAAAAAAAAAAAACAGTAATAACAGTTTAGCAACAACAAATTGTGAGAATGGGTAGAACTGGAAGAACATGTAATAGCAGCAATGATCATAGTATCTCTCATTTGTACAGCTGCTTTCTCTCCATTGCTTTATCAGCCTTTCCTGTCCTAAAAGTGTGGGAAACTAACAGTTAATGTTTATTGAACAAAATAACTAGACTGAGTACAAATCTTAGCTACACTATAACACATGATTTTGTTGAGGTAGTGTTCATTCGAAGTCCTTGACTGAGGCACCAGAAAAAAACTATTTTAGGCAGCAAAGGTAAATGTGACGAAATGCCTGCATTTATTGTGATCTGTGCTTATTATAAATCATCAGTCATTAGGTAGGTGGGATTTAAATAAATCATCACTAAACTAGGTTGAGATAGATTCACTGTATAATTTGAATACAAAGAAAAGATTTGCAGCCTGAAGTAGAGATGTACTACCCCACAGAGTGTAAAACATGAAGTAAAAACTCTGGATTAAATATCTAATGTGTATTCTAACTTTAATATTAAAACATAATCAAATAATCTATATTTTGACACATTTGATTGCAGATTTAAGAATATATGTATGCAAAGTAAACATTGCGATCAACATTAGCTGTTTTAATGACATGACTGCTGGAAAGTGACAGTCAATAAGACTGGAAGATTCAAAATGATGTCAAGTAACATAGATGCTTCTGTATTCCCTGGTCAGTCTGTTTTGCTATTTCTACTCATTTACACCAACCTCAGCTCCAAAAGTAGAGCAGTATTGTGGTCAAATTCATTATGGATGTGGTGTAATGAAGAACTCCTCAGTAGATTTCTGCCATCTCCAATTGGCTTAGGGTTCAAAGATTTATAACTAGTGGTACCCACCAGATAGTGAAAGCAATAAAATCTCTGCTATGATGTTTACCATTTGCTATATTGTTTTAAAGTTTAGTATGCATTTGATATTACCTCAGAAAAGAAAAAGATCTCTTATGTCTAAATAGAATTTGAGGTTTTATTTTGTTTGTACACAGTAGTATTCCTAATACCCTGTTTTTAGTGCGCTCTTATTCATATTTCTTTGGAAGGACTGCATCACTTCACTACTTATGTTTGCTCTCAATTTTATTTAAAAATAGTACAAAAAATAGAAGCTCTTTCTGTGGACTCAAAACTTGATCTAAATGTTGCCAGAAGTTTTCTCTCTTGTGTTTATGTTCAGATATCATGTTGTGTTTTGTGGAATGATATAATTAACAGTTTCTTATTTAGCTAGAATAACTAATATGTAACAGTGGCTCTTGTTTTAATTGAATTGAAGTGAGATAAATTTTAAACTTATGGAATTCTCCCCAGATTGACTTTGTGTATTCCCTGTCTAAAAATTCTGTCAAAAGTTGGTGAGTTGTCTTTGAGACAACATAGAAAAGACAATGGTGAAGGAGGAGCGGAAAAATGAGGAAGGTTACAGACAAATCCACTCAATTTTGAAATGCAGTAGGGTGCA